TTATGGATGGAATCAATGGGTGATGCTAGTTAAGCAGATGTACTACCAAATCAAGGGATAAAAACTTACATTTTTGGAAGAAAAGGGAAGATCCTTAATGATAGTTGAGAGCAAAACCCGATTTCTTGCCTTGGAAATGGTAAAAGTGCTGGAAAAATGCCTAACTATCATATATATAGTGGGAGTTCACGGCCAACCATGAGTTTATGGCTGTATCCTCTATTTTACAGTTGTAAACTCAAAACCTTGGAGTTTTCTGGCTTTTATGTAGTGTACTGAACTCTAGAATATACTTCTTAACACTCCTTATGGAGGGTACTAGGCTTAGAATGTTCAAACAAACTCTAAATAGTGCTAAAAGTTAGTAGAAACAAGTCTGACTTTGACTGAATTCAATTGTTGTACAAGATAGAAATTTTGGGTTGTCACAGACTATCAGAATAAGATATATCTTGTTCAATATCACCTGACTCATGAGCACTATAGAGGACTTATCATTACTTTCTCTTTAATCATTATAGAGGAAGATGCCTCCATAGAAGTCCAACAGGAACAAAAACAAACCTCTTACGAATCCACCACCTCCACAGTATGACTATGCTTTTTTCCAAGCTACAGTAACAACCACCATCGCAGCTGCCATGATGCAAATTATCGCAAGTGGCACTAGTGGGGTGGGTAGTGTTGCCATCCCTTCTAACCACAGAGATAGTCATGGACACCTAAGGGAGTATTCATATAAAGACTTCACGAATGCTAAATCCAAATCCTTCGATGGAATTGGGGGTGTCATTTCTTTATAGTTTTGGTTCGGGAAGACCGCATCAGTATTTGAAATCCGTGTGTTCCCCGAAACTAGCAAAGTGAAATTTGCAGTATGCACTTTCATAGACATATCCCTCTCTTGGTGGAACGGTCATGTCATGTCATTGAATCTCCCAACTGCAATTGCCATGACCTGGGAAGACTTAAAGAAACTGATGCTCTCAAAATAATGCCCGAGCGGCGAGGTGCAAAAGCTTCAGCAAGTGCTCTGGCCAATCGATGATGAAGGACTCCTATATTGCTACATACACTGCCAGATTTAGTGACCTAGGTACTCTGCGTCCCGAGATGCTCACCCCAGAAAGCAAGAAAGTAGAAAGATACATATGGGGACTCTCTCCTCAGATCCAAGGGAATGTAATAGCTCCAAATCCACTTACTTTCAACAGCGCTAAGCATTTGGCACAGACCCATGTGGATCATGAGGTTCGTAAAGGATTCATTAAAGTTGTACCAGAGAAACGAAAAGAAAGTTGTGGAAACAAGAAATTATGGAACAAAAGAAAGGGCAAATCGTCGCAGGAGTCCTTAAAAAAACAACAAATTGTGGCAGTTCATGCTGATATTGTTCCTATTGTTGTTCCGAGTGCCCCAAGACCTCCCAATCATTATGTTGGGAACATACCAAAGTGCAATAAATGCAATAAATAGGAAGGGGCACACAACCCATTTCCGTAAGGCACCGGCACAACCAATCGCCCAGGACCCTAGCGGAGGAATCAGCCAAGCTTGTTATAGGTGTGGTGAAACTGGGCACATCAAGAGAGATTGCCTGAAAGCAAAGAATGATGGTGGAGTGGGCATAGTGCTAGCTATTGGACAGGAGGAAACAATAGCAGATCCCATGGTGGTCATGGGTACGTTTCTCCTTGATAACTCTTATACATGCATATTGTTTGATAGTGGTGCATAGAGGAGTTTCGTGAGCCATAAATTTAAACACCTAATCAAACAGAAACCAAAAACACTAACCAAAACATTCACTATCAAGATGGGCAATGGGAAAACCGAAATATCTAATGACATATACATAGGTTGTACCCTCACTCTAAACGTCTATTCTTTCCAAATCGACCTTAAGTCGGTCTCAATAAAAAACTTTGACATCATCATCATCATGGATTTGTTAAGCCCGCACCATTCCGATATTATATGCTACGAAAAGGTCGTCCGCCTTAATCTACCAAGTGGTGAAGCCCTCGTCATTTACGTCGACAACCCGATACGAAACTTCGTATCATCTCTTACGTCAAAGCCTAAAAATATATGCGCAACGAGTATCACACATTCTTAGCTCACGTAGTGAACGAGAAACAAGAAGTAAAAGACTTCTAGAGCATTCCCAGAGTCTCGAATTTTCCTGAAGTGTTTCCCAAGGATCTCCCAGGAGTTCCTCCTGCATGCCAAGTCGAGTACCGAATTGACTTAATTCCTGGAGCTACCCCCGTAGCCAAACCCCTGTATCGTCTAGTATGAGCAGAGATGCAGGAATTATCCAACCAAATAAACGAACTGCTCGGTAAAGGATTCATCAGACCGAGCTTATCACCCTGGGGAGCACCATTCCTGATTGTGAAGAAGAAGGATGGATCTTTCTGCATGTGCATATACTACCGCGAACTAAAAAAGCTCTCCATTAAGAACCGATATGCTCTACCGTGAGTAGACGATCTGTTCGACCAGCTCCAAGGAGCGAGCTACTTTTCGAAGATCGATGTAAGACCAGGGTACCACCAATTACAAGTCCAAGAGAGTGATGTTCACAAAACAACATTCATAACTTGTTATGGTCACTACGAGTTTGTAGTGATGCCCTTCGGTCTGAAAAATGCACCCGCAATGTTCATAGACTTAATGAATCGGGTATGCCGCCCTTTCCTAGAAAAAAATGTGATAGTATTCATAGATGATATACTTATCTACCCACAAAACGAAGAGGAACATAGTCAGGATCTGAGACAAGTTCTAGAAACATTAAGGGCGGAGAAACTATACTCGAAGTTCTTAAAGTGTGAATTTTGGATTCGGAAGGCAAACGTCCTTGGTCACATAGTCAGTGAAGAGGGAATACACGTGGACCCCTCCAAAATTAAGGCAATCGAGAACTAGTGAACACCAAGAATGTCACACCACCAAACTGGAACGACGAAAACGTTCGGGGGTGGAGGACATCATGTATAGTATCACAACAATTTAATAATAGTAATCAAAGCAGTAAAAACCATTGTATCAATAGTATCTTGTTTTATATTGTATACAAAGCATTACATGATTAACATTGAACTATCGCAAAAGATAAGACATAAAGCTACTATGCTCTGTCTTCGTAACTCCCAAGAGGGTACCTTTCTACTAGTTATCCTGAGAATACAAGTGGTTTGAAAAAGTGTCAACATTAAAGTTGGTAAGTTTATAAGCATTTTGTTTTGGAAAATATGTTATTTGTTCTTTAAAAATGTTAATGTTTTCCTCAAGAAAACCCTATATTTTCTTATGTGATGAATGATAAGTAAGGTGACTTTTAAAATAAAAGTTGGATCTTTTGTAGATACTATTGGATTAATGTCTAAGTCCATAACTATAATTGGTAAGACTTGACCCGACCCGGCATGGTCCATTTGGGTTGCATGGCATCATGCACTTGGATAGACTATAATGAGAGAATTAAAACACTTATGGTTATTAATATAGGATTAATACCTTAAAAACCTTTATTTATACATATCCGTTTCGATTTAACCCTAATATTTTTATTTGTTACTTATTTGCCATTAATTGTGTTGACTGGTTATGAAAAGTCAATGGTAGCCGGTGTCGTCGGTTTAACAGGTTACCCTAACCTTTTACATACCCAAAATCCACTTTTTCCCCAAAACCTCTCCTTCACTCAGTTTAACAGGCGTTCTTCCTCACACATCACGTCTTCTTCTTTTCCATGGCTTCGTCTTCAACAGCTTCTATCAACAAACCAATTTATCGCACTAAGTGTGATTGTGGTGATCAACTGCAATACTCAGTTTCAAGAACTGATAAAAACCCAGGAAGAAAGTTCAAGGCATGCCCTAACTATAAGGTAAAATTGAGGGATTTTGTTTTCCCATTTTGTTATCTTTCAAAAGTTAGTAAATGAAGCTTTTGTTGGCAGGGTACCAAAAAAGGGTGTAAATATTTCAAGTGGCTTGACACGGAAGAGATGGAGTTTTATGCTAATGAAAGGGAGCCCTATAATGAAGTTGTTGCTAGTGGTGTTCTGCAAGTGATCAAGTTGTTGAAGTTTGTGTTGGTGATGTTAGTGGTTATTGGAGTAATTTTGTTAATTGGCATTGTATTTTAAGAACCAGTTGGTTAGGGCAGTTGTAATTATTTTGTATTTGGTAGGGTTAAGGTTGTTGTAGGTTTGTTATTTTGGTTAGGGAAGGTGTTCAATGTAGTTATGGTAATGTTTGATGGAGAAGTGTATTGATAGTAATCCAATCTTATTTATGTCCCTGTGATTTGGTAATTGCATTATAGTGATTCATTACAATGTAGTTATGGTAATGTACTAAATCTTGTGTAAGCAAGTGAAATGTAGTAGAACATGGTAAAACTTGGTAATAACTGAATGTACTAAAACAAGGAAGTAAAGGACATTAACTGGAATGACAATTAACATATGATTGTAAGCAGGTGATCAATGTAGTTATGGTAATGTTTGATGGAGAAGTGTATTCATAGTAATCCAATCTTATTTATGTCCCTGTGATTTGGTAATTGCATTATAGTGATTCATTACAATGTAATTATGGTAATGTACTAAATCTTGTGTAAGCAAGTGAAATGTAGTAGAACTTGGTAAAACTTGGTAATAACTGAATGTACTAAAACAAGGAAGTAAAGGACATTAACTGGAATGACAATTAACATATGATTGTAAGCAAGTGAAATGACAAGCAAAGTGAAATAACATTAACTTCAAATACTTGCATTCATAATAACATAAAAGGGGGTATTACAATCAGTACCAAACAACCAATTGCCCAACAATCTTTTAATGGCCATTAACTACCAATGTTCAAAAAGGCCTAATTGAATACTACTAGATGCTGATATACAATTGGATGGTTGTTACCAAAAGCTGATGAAATGTTAACAAAAAGGGCAAGCAAAATACATAGTGCCCATGATACCCCCTCCTAAATAGTCCTACTCCCAATTAACTGGTTTCTTAATACTAGAACCCCTTCCATCCTTATCATAAACTGCTTTCTTCAGCTTGATCTTCACAATTCTCTCAGAAATCTTCCTTTTCCTAGGCCTCCCAACAACTTGTGTATCTTCAATGAAGTCAATATTCCCATCATCTTCACCAACCCAAGCATTAGCATCTAAACCTTGTATAGCGACTTCTTGCACTGGTGGCACAATCTCATGAACATCTACACCCTGTAAGACATGATGTATTTAAATACCCTATGTTAATCACATATTAGTTTTAAGAAATTTAAAGTAAAGGTTGGCATACCATTTCCAAGTTTTCTTCAAGCAAGTTATCTTCAATCTCATTAACATCCTCTTCTAAGTCTGCTTCCAAGTGATCTTCAATCTCATTAGCATCTACACCCTGTAAGACATGATCTAGTTAATTACCTTATGTAAATCACATATTACTTTTAAGAAAGTTAAAGTAAAGGTTGGTATACCATTTCCAAGTTTTCTTCAAGCAAGTTATCTTCAATCTCATTAACATCCTCTTCTAAGTCTACTTCCAAGTGATCTTCAAACTCATTAGCATCTACACCCTGTAAGACATGATCTAGTTAATTACCTTATGTAAATCACATATTAGTTTTAAGAAATTTAAAGTAAAGGTTGGCATACCATTTCCAAGTTTTCTTCAAGCCGGTTATCTTCAAGCAAGTGATCTTCAATCTCATTAGCATCTACCCTTTCCATAGCCTGTTCAATCTCATGAGGTTCATAACCACATTTTTGCAACAATACATCAATTTCATCAGAAATAGCATCTGCATCATTCACAATTTTTGGTGCAGTTTCCTGTACAGTTTCCTGTACAGTTCCATTTTCTTCTTGCACAGTTGCATCGTTTGCAGTTTCAACCCCACCTTGGCCATCCTGGTTTGAGGATCCTTCTCCAGCCTTCTTTGTCTTCTTCTTTCTTTTCACTACAAGCTTAACTGCCTTTTGTTTTGAAGTTCCCTCTCCATCCTTGTTTGTTATACCATTTCCACCCCTCCTTAGCCTTACTGGTTTTCTAGGTGGCACATAATCCTTCATCACTCGCTCATTCTTACAGGATTTCAAGTTATGTCCGAATTGTAAACATTTGCTACACCTAAGAGTCCTACAAACTCTAGCTCTAACAGTTGGGAACTTGGAATCATTGACGTCAGATACATGCCTTCTTCTCTTGGTTTTTGGCCTACCAGGCATTCTCCTTGTCAATGGAGGTAATGGCTTTATATAGTCAGTGGGTGCCCACAGGTTGCTTCCATTCACCGGTGATATATTTGTGGTATATGCAACCATAAATTTCTCTTTTTGGAACCAAATGCTTAGAAAATCAGTTGGATTCATGTGAGTGTAGTTTATTGCTGCTTGACCATGCACACATGGTATTCCAGATATCTCCCATAGTCTACATGTGCAATAGTGTTGTTCCAAATCCACTTTGTAAGCTGTATACCCATACCTTATCTCAAATACAGACCCCCCCCCCAGTTGCTATAACTTTCCAGTTCCTATAAATACGAATTAAAAATAACAATTTCATATTAACTATACAACACAATTTAATGTTAAGTAGTAACAAGTTTATGTAAGAATTTACCTCATCTCTTTTCGAAACTCCTTCATTTTCTCTATGATAGCTGGTCAGTTCTCCAAGTAGAAGCTTTATCAGCCAAATAATAAAACCTAGCCATGACATAGATTCTAATTTCCTCTAACATTGTGAGAAGTGGTTTTTTCCTAATATTTATGATCATGGAGTTAAAGGACTCAGAAACCCCATTTTCCACTGCGTCACATGCATACCCTAGTCCAAAAAATGCCCTACACCATGATTGTGGATTTTTAGACATCAACCAATCATATCCATTTGAAGTGATTTTCTTAATTTTTTCCATGTTAGATACAAAATCCCCTTCATGTGAACTAGTTGCAGCAGCCCAGAACAAGTTTTTCAACTCTAAACCTGTATGCCTCTTCCTGAAGTTGGCATAAATGTGTCGTGCACACTGCCTGTGTTCAACATGTGGAAGGATAGCTTTCACAGATTCTAGAAGTCCCTAAAATAAGTAAATTCAACATTAATATGGGTTAGACAATATAAATGAATACATAAAAAAATTTGTAGTATTTATGTTTACCTTGTGTTGATCTGAAATAACAACTAGACCCCTTCCATCCTCAACACCCAAGTCATCAACCAACAACTGTAAAAAACCAAGTCCAATTTTCTTTGTTCTCTACATTTACTACAGCCCATACAATTGGATACACGAGGTTGTTAGCATCTCTTCCAATAGCAGTCAAAATCTCCCCTTTGATTTGTCCCTTTAGGAAACATCCATCTAAGCCAATCACACGTCTGCACCCTGTATTCCATCCATCTTTCAATGCCTTAAAACATACATAAAAACGTTCAAAATAATTCACCCCATCTGGATTTACGGACACTCCTACTTTGCATGTACTTCCAGGGTTGGATCTAAGGATTTCGTTGGCATAATCCCATATCTTAGAATAGTGTTCCTCCAGTTTACCTTCTATCATCTCCCTTGCCCTTACCCTTGCTCTATGACATTGACCCTTTGACACTTTCACTGAATATTTTGTAAGGACATCCTCCATCATCTCAGGCAGTGTCATTTTGGGCTTCCTAATTATGTCCTTAATGTAGTGTTTTGCTAACCAATTACAACTAACCAAATGTCCAAAATTATAATTCCTTGCACAAAGATGTGTTTCAACCATAGATTTTATCTGAAAAGTACGTTCATTATACTTCCACGAAGCATGGATCCTAAAAGGACATGGTTTTTTGCATTTTTTTCCCACACCTAACAATTACCCTGCTTTTATCACTTTTCATGAACCAAAGTTGGTATCCATTAGCTACAGCATAGTTAGTGAGTGCAAACCTTAACTGAGCAGGAGACTCATATAACTCACCAACTGTAGGCTTCATTTGGTTCCACTTGACGGTAGGATCGTGCACCCTGAACTCGACACCACTTCCAAGCCATTTTCATCTTCAAGGTGTTCATGCTCAAGCTCTTCCTGGTGAATGTCTTCAACATCAGCTTCATCGTCCCCTTCAAACTGATTATTCTTTAACATTTTATCATCACATCAAATGTTAAGAAAAGGGTTTTCACACAAGTTAGATGTAGGATTGAAGTTATCTGGTTCAACATCCAACAATCCTAAGTCAAGACGATCATCATCAGACTCTTCTTCATCACGTACGTATCTCAACATTGTCTTCTTTGTCGCCTTTGATTCTTTACTTTTCATTCTCCGTGATGATTCTGCCATCGAACCCTTGAAAACCTTCAGAAACCCTCTTTCAAAACCCTCTTGCAAAACCCTCTTTTGACGATGATGTTATCTGATAAGGGATACCCCTTTGTTAGTCAGACATGAGGGACAAAGGTGGTGGCTACTATGCACGTTCCCAAGAATTAGTAATCAAGTGAAGAGATGCAACCGGCAAGGAGTTGATTACCGGTTGTTAACCGGGTAAGGTGTAATAAATGGAACGTCATCTCATTAACGGTGGCAAATAAGTAACAAATAAAAATGATAGGGTTAAATCGAAACGGATATGTATAAATAATGGTTTTTAAGGTATTAACCCATTAATATATTATAAGTTCTAGTATATTAATAATAAGAGTAATGAGATTATTTAATTAGTATTGATCAAGAATTAATCTAGGATTAATTAAGTGATCAAAAGAAGACTAATTAAATATATGGGTTGATTGTGTAAATCATCCATACTTGTATAGTGGGCTAATGCTCCATGGATAATCAAGTTGGGCTAAAACCCATAGGATGGTCCATGGATGCTCCATGGTGTATTTGAACCCATGGATCCAAGGAAATGGAAAGTCATGACAATTAGGGCTTACCCTAATTGTAACACTATATAAAGATCTTATTCTTGACAAAATCGGCACTAATATCATTCTAGAGAGGGCTAGCCGATTTCATGAAGTGTTGAATTCTCTCTAAGTTATTCCAAGTGCTTATGGTGTTGTGTGAACCATTTGAGGTGTCACACTTGGGGCACTAGGCACTCAAGCTTCATGAAGACAAACACTAATAAAAGGTATGTTATTCTAACTTGTGTTATTCAAACTTTAGTATGCTAGAATAGAACAATACCTTGGAAAGTTGATATTTGCATGTATAATGGAGAAAACATAGATCCAAGGTATTTAGGGTTGCATGTACACTTAGGAGTGTTAGAATGCTCAAAACCCAACAAATACATTCCTAGTTACACTTGTTCTACTGTAAATCATGGTTTTGATAAGTAATTGCCTTTTGTTTTAGAAAGTTAAAATGTAATCTGTTTACTTGAAAAAGAATGACCCTGATACTGGAAAATCCTATATTTTCCATATAAAACGAGTTGAAATGTTATTTATTCCAAGACTGACAAATTCAAGTGTAAATACCATTCTTAATTTATTTTCAAGGTAGTCTTAAATCTTAAGACCAAAGTGTTTGTATGTTGATGTGTGTTAAATTTGTATACTTGTTGTTTTATTACCTGGTAAAAACTGATTTGATATTTTTTTACCCAAAGTTGTGAATTTAATTCTAGAAAATGATATGCTATATTGGTACGTGTTGGTATGACCCATATTTGTTTCTCCTACGATTACTTAGTGCATATGAATTATATATAATCAAGATCGAACAGATAATTGATTAGGTGATTCTGCCCTAAGCCCACAACCAAACAAGCAACATGAAGTAAGGCGGAAAGCACCCATCCCATTGCATATTGGATATTATCTGTATATAACCCTAACGTATAAACCAAGAATCCTAGAATTAACTATAAAAGCCTTTTTGATCCAACTGGTTTGTAAAGTCCTTTGTTGTACATTTATAATTAAATAAAACTAAGCAAAGTTTGTTTATACATTCATACACTAATCGTACTAATGATCATAACCATGCATAATACGACGGATGGCCTGAATTGACGTTCTTAAGGTGTCGAAATAGATCATGACGTTTGTCACCACAGGTCTATCGGCCTAGGTGTTCCAAGCAGCTCTGGTGCGGGATTGTCAGTCCCATATAGATCTATACACAAACTCACGTTCTCCCTCCAGGAGACTTTGGTTATTAAGGTTAGGACTTTTGATGGCACTTAAATAAGTACTTGAAGGTGTTATCTCAAAAAGCTATATCGATGGGTATGTGTAGAATTAAGAAAAATATTTTTAGTAAATAATCTGTAACTTTGTAAAATAGTTCGTTCGTTCCATAAACTATACATATTATAGCTTATAAGTTTGTTTTTCTGTGATATAATTTGAGCCTGTAAAATGGTTCCCTTATTCCATAAACTATACTTAATATAGTTTATAAATTTGTTTCCTTGTTAAAAACTGAACTTGTAAAATAGTTTCCGTTGGTGTAAAAATATTACAAACTTATGATATTTTGTAGTTTAATCGCAATGATGTTTGACGTATTCAACAATTTCATGTTTAAAAGCATGTTAACGGTAAGAAAATATAATAAAAAAAATTATATTTTTAAACACAATATTTCTTGTGTTTTACTTGTATTCCTCCCCTAAAAACATAAAAAAAATGGTAAAAACGTAGGGGTATGAACTCACCTCCAATATGTGTGCTCGGTTGAATTGCAAAGTGCTAACGGTAAATCCTCGGATTAGAATACGCGGCAGCAGTTGTATCCTAAAAATAATTATCCCCGACATCGTATTTAAATTAATAAGACATTAATTTAAATAATAATTAAATGGTGATTTAATTAGTTAAGTGATACTTACAATATTTATTTGGAATTGTTAGGGATGTTTGAAATGGTTTCACGGTTGAAATGGGGGGGGGGGGGGGGGGTCATGGTTGGAAAATGGGTTCATGGTGTGTTCTTGGTGGATGTTTGATGATTTGAAGATTTAAATAATTGATCCTGGTGTTCTTGGTGAGAACTTGAAGATCTGAGCAACAATACTTGAAGACTTAGAGGAAAAAGGGGTGTTCTCGGATGATAGTTGAGAGAAAAATAGGTGTGTTCACGGCTGGAAAATGTGAGAAATGAATTTGTTCACGGCTGAATACATATATACAGGGTTGTTTACGGTTCATAATGAGCCAAGGCCTTTTGTGTTTATCATTCTATCATTTGGGTTTTCGCCCTTAATAGGCTTTGGATTGTGTTTACGGTTCAAAAGAAACCATAAACAACCTTTTGAAATCAAGCCAAACCGTGAAGCCTTCTTAGATTTGTGTATTTGGAACGTGAACTCCATATTTCTTTCATATTTGGACCGTGAACTCCATTTGTGCATTAATTTCTTTGGGTGAAAACTCATTTAATGGTTATATTTATGTTTTAAACCCTTAGTCTTTTAACTTATGTTCATTTATAACACCCTAAATTAGCATAGTTTTCAATCCATACTTCTTTGTTAACCTTTTAAACAAGCCCTACGGCTATAGATGATAAAATGCAATAATAATTGCAATGCAGTTTCACTTGTACTTGGTTAGGGTTTAGGCTTTCCTTGATTTAAAAATTTCTAGTTGTGACAAAGAATGCCAACAAAGATCCATCAATTCTTATGGCTTGTTGGCTACAACCGCAGGTTCATATAAAATTTCTCCAGAATCGCCAAGCCACTTACCACCCCCAATCATTAGGGTGTAACTTTTAGTTGCGGAGAAAAAAAGACACTACGTTCCAAACAATGAATCAAGCCCTGTGCAATGCACCTATATTGTCTCTTCCAGAAGGGACAGAAGATTTCATGGTATACTGCGATGCATCCAGGCTAGCATGTGTTCTTATGCAGCGATGAAAAGTTATTGCCTATGCCTCGAGATAGCAAGAGACACACGAGGTCAACTACACCCCTCATGACCTTGATTTAGGAGCAATAGTGTTTGCTCTGAAGATTTAGAGGCACTACCTTTACAATACAAAGTGCACCATCTTCACCGACCACAAAAGTCTTCAACACATACTAGACCAAAAGGAGTTTAACATGAGACAGTGGCGATGGGTAGAACTACTTAATGACTACGAATGCGAGATTCCTTATCATCCTGGAAAACCCAATGTAGTAGCTAATGCCCTTAGTCGAAATGACTACTCAGATCGCAGAGTGAAAGCACTGACCATGACCATCTATTCACATCTGTCCACACTAATCAAAGTGTCTCAACTAGAAGCCTTGAAACCTAAAAATGTGGCGAGTGAAGCCTTAAGAGGAATGGAGAAGAACTTAGATATTTAGGGAGACGGAGTTCGTTATCTCATGAACCAAATCTAGACACCAAAGTTTGGTGGGTACAGAGACATTTTCATGAACGAAGCACACAGGACTCGATACTCCATTCACCCGGGTTTAGACAAGATGTATCTAGACCACAAAAAACTTTATTGGTGGCCGAACATGAAAGCTGAGATTGCCACCTATGTGGGCAAGTGCCAGACTTGCACCAAAGTCAAGGTGGAATAACAGAAGCCCTCAGGTTTACTGCAACAACCAG